GGTGAGGTGAGGGTGGTGATGGTGGTGAGGTGAGGGTGGTATGGTGGTGAGGTGAGGGTGGTGATGGTGGTGAGGGTGGTGAGGGTGGCAGTGAGGTGAGGGTGGGGAGGTGAGGGTGGTGATGGTGGTGAGGTGAGGGTGGTGATGGTGAGGGTGGTGGTGAGGGTGGTGAGAGTGAGGGTGGTGATGGTGGTGAGGGTGGTGAGGGTGGTGAGGTGAGGGTGGTGAGGGGGTGGTGAGGTGAGGGTGGTTGAGGTGAGGGTGGTGAGGGGGTGGTGAGGGGGAGGTGAGGGTGGTGAGAGGTGAGGGTGGTGAGGTGAGGGTGGTGAGCTTGGTGAGGTGAGGGTGGTGAGGTGAGGGTGGTGAGAGTGAGGGTGGTGAGGTGAGGGTGGTGATGGTGGTGAGGTGAGGATGGTGAGGGTGGTGAGGTGAGGGTGGTGAGGGTGGTGAGGGTGGAGAGGGTGGTGAGGGGAGGGTGGTGAAGGTGGTTAGGGTGGGGAGGTGGTGAGGGTGGTGAGGTGAGGGTGGTTAGGGTGGGGAGGTGGTGAGGGTGGTGAGGGTGGTGAGGTGAGGGTGGTGAGGGTGGTGAGGTGAGGGTGGTGAGGTGAGGGTGGTGAGGGTGGTGATTGGTGGTGAGGTGAGGGTGGTGAGGGTGGTGAGGTGAGGGTGGTGAGGTTGGGGTGGTGAGGGTGGTGATGGTGAGAGTGGTGAGGTGAGGGTGGTGAGGGGGTAGTGAGGGTGGTGAGGTGAGGGTGGTGAGGTGAGGGTGGTGAGGGTGGTGAGGTGAGGGTGGTGAGGGTGGTGAGGTGAGGGTGGTGAGGGTGGTGATGGTGAGAGTGGTGAGGGTGGTGAGGGTGGTGAGGTGAGGGTGGTGAGGGTGGTTAGGGTGGAGAGGCGGTGATGGTGGTGAGGGTGGTGAGGTGAGGGTGGTGAGGGTGGTGAGGGTGGTGAGGTGAGGGTGGTGAGGTGGAGGGTGGTGATGGTGGTGAGGTGAGGGTGGTGAGGTGAGGGTGGTGAGCGTGGTGAGGTGAGGGTGGTGAGGTTTGGGGTGGTGATGGTGAGAGTGGTGAGGTGAGGGTGGTGAGGGGGTAGTGAGGGTGGTGAGGTGAGGGTGGTGAGGTGAGGGGGGTGAGGGTGGTGAGGTGAGGGTGGTGAGGGTGGTGATGGTGGTGAGGTGAGGGTGGTGAGCGTGGTGAGGTGAGGGTGGTGAGGTGGTGAGGTGGTGAGGTGGTGAGGTGAGGGTGGTGAGGAGGTGAGGTGAGGGTGGTGAGGTGAGGGGGTGGTGAGGTGGTGAGTGAGGGTTGTGATATGGTGAGGGTGGTGAGGGGGGTGGTGAGGGTGGTGAGGGGTGGTGAGGGTGAGGGTGTAGGGTTGTGAGGGTGTTGAGGTGAGGGTGGTGAGGGGGTGGTGAGGGTGTGAGGTGAGGGTGGTGAGGGGGTGGTGAGGTGAGGGTGGGGGTGAGGTGAGGGAGGGTGGTGAGGGGGTGGTGAGGGTGGTGAGGTGAGGGGGTGGTGAGGTGGTGTGGTGAGGGTGGTGAGGTGAGGATGGTGAGGGTGGTGAGGGGGTGGTGAGGGTGGTGAGGTGGTGAGGTGAGGGTGGTGAGGGTGTTTGAGGTGAGGGTGGTGAGGGGTGAGGGTGGTGAGGTGAGGGTGTTGAGTCAGGGTGGTGAGGTGGTGAGGGTGTTGAGGTGAGGATGGTGAGGGTGGTGAGGGTGGTGAGGGGGTGGTGAGGGTGGTGAGGGGTGGTGAGGTGAGGGTGGTGAGGGTGTTGAGGTGGGGTGGTGAGGTGAGGGTGGTGAGGGTGTTGAGGTGATGGGTGGTTGAGGTGGGTGAGGTGAGGGTGGTGAGGGTGTTGAGGTGAGGGTGGTGAGGTGGTGAGGGAGGGGTGTGAGGGGTGTTGAGGTGAGGGTGGTGAGGGTGTTGAGGTGAGGGTGGTGAGGGTGGTGAGGGTTGGTGAGGTGAGGGGTGGTGAGGGTGTTGAGGTGAGGGTGGTGAGGTGGTGAGGGTGTTGAGGTGAGGATGGTGAGGGTGGTGAGGGTGGTGAGGGGGGGTTGGTGAGGGTGGTGAGGGTGGTGAGGGTGGTGAGGTGGTGAGGGTGGTGAGGTGAGGGTGGTGAGGGTTGTTGAGGTGAGGGAGGTGAGGGGGGTGGTGAGGTGAGGGTGGTGAGGTGAGGGGTAGGGAGCGTGGTGAGGTTAGGGGTGTGGAGGGGTGGTGAGGTGAGGGTGGTGAGGTGAGGGTGGTGAGGTGAGGGTGGTGAGCGTGGTTGAGGTTAGGGTGGTTGAGGGTGAGGGTTGGTGAGCTGTGGTGAGGTTAGGGTGGTGAGGTGAGGGTGGTGATCGTGAGGGTGGTGAGGTGAGGGTGGTGAGGGAGGTGAGGGAGGTGAGGGGGGGGTGAGGGTGGTGAGGTAAGGGTGGCGAGGTCAGGGTGGTGAGGGTGGTGAGGGTGGTGAGGTGAGGATGGTGAGGGGTGGTGAGGGTGAGGTGAGAGGTGGAGAGGTGAGGGTGGTGAGGTGAGGGTGGTGAGAGTGGTGAGGTGAGGGTGGTGAGGTGAGGATGGTGAGGGGGGTGTGGGTGAGGGTGGTGAGGTGAGGGTGGTGAGGGTGGTGAGGTGAGGGTGGTGAGGTGAGGGTGGTGAGGGTGGTGAGGTGAGGGTGGTGAGGGTGGTGAGGTGAGGGTGGTGAGGGTGGTGAGGTGAGGGTGGTGAGGTGGGGGTGGTGATGGTGGTGTGGTGAGGGTGGTGAGGTGAGGGTGGTGAGGGGGGTGAGGTGAGGGTGGTGAGGTGAGGGTGGTGAGGGTGGTGAGGCTGGTGAGGTGAGTGGTGGTGAGTGTGGTGAGGCTGGTGAGGGTGGGGGTGGTGAGGGTGGTGAGGCTGGTGAGGTGAGTGGTGGTGAGGTGGTGAGGGTGGTGAGGGTGGTGAGGAGAGGGGGTGAGGTGAGGGTGGTGAGGTGAGGGTGGTGAGAGAGGTGAGGGTCGTGAGGGTCACGGGCGAGGCGGGCGAAGCTCTCCCCGTGCAGCCATTCGCTGACTTCTTGGCTGGTCGGGTGACTCTTAGCAGAGTAGCAGCAGCTCGTGAGGGTGGCACGCACACACACACCGGCCGCCTTTGTCTCCCCCCCAGTGGCGATATTTACGCATCGAACAATGGTACTCATTTGAGGCTGAGTCGACCTAGGGAGATGTCCCAAGACCGGTTCAGATCATCGCTATCGCCGGGTTCGTAGCGAAGCGTGGCGCTAACCGCTGCGCCACCGCTCCCCCGCTCAAAGCACCTCTTGCTAATGTTTACAAAACAGCAGCGGGTCAACACATTTATGGCTGAGTCGACCTCCGTCAATTGATTGGGGTCCGTGAGCGGGAATTCAGTGCAGCGTCAACCACCGTGCCACCGCTCCACATGGATACACTCTACACACCACAGTGTACAACATTTACTGATTATATATAATACACATACATATATATGCAGCGATTACTGTTGCCTTGTGTGTTTACATAGCTGCGCCTTGACAAGTGGATCATAAACAGTGGGGCGTGTGCGTTGTGTGCGGAGTCTGTGCATGTGTCCTTGTGAATGCCCAATGATCTTCTTGATTCTTTCGGTAAAGTCACGTAGAAGGGAAATAATAATAAAAAACAATAAAATACAATTCTCACGACGTTTTTGCCACAACGGAAGCAGCCGTCCTAAGGTGAAGAACAGGTCTGTCGGTCAGACGCTGTCTTTCCGACAGCCCTGTTCTTCACCTTTGATTATTTCCCTTCTACGTGACTTTACCGAAAGAACCAAGAAGATGAATACCTGCAGTCACGAAAGCTTTAAATCGAAAAAATGCCCAATGAGTGCTCGAGAGACCAGGCTGACTGTCTGTGTCAAAGCGTTGGGTGTCTATGCAAGAGACCTGGGTGTCTGTGTGAGATACCTGGGTGTCTGTGAGAAGCCTGGCTGTCTATGTCAGAGCCCTGGGTGTCTATGTAAGTGCCATCTAATTCTACGTGAGTCTATGAAACACATTATCTGGCAATGCTGCTGCTACTGCTGCGTCGTTGGTCGTGCACACGCACACAAAAATACATCTCAGCGTCGTCAATAACACTGCGGGGCTCGAGATAGAAGAATTCTATAGGTGACATTTCGGCAAATGGGCCTTTTTCACAGCACATAAATAGGCCAGAGAGATGGAGCGGCACAGGAGTTGGAGATTGCACTTCACATGGGATATATGGCTCCCCCATGTGAGTGGAAAGGTGATGTAAGGACACCTTACAATAATTCATTAATAAATGCACGGTTGCTGGGCAGCGGGTCATCGTCAGCGCAAATTGTGGTCGGTGGTTGATTGAGCACATCATTCTTCAGACAGCAAAACACATTCCTGCGGAGGGAGCTGGTAGGAACGCTGGGTTGCTCGGTCAATGGCCAGGGTCAACGGCGGCGTGGTGTATTCCGCAAATGTGCCCGACTGTGAGGGCGGGCACAAGCCGGCGTGAGTAGGTTAAACGTTGAGTTTTATAAGGGCACCACGGGGTGACCAGCCCCTCCCCACCCAGCACCAGCCCTCCCCACCCAGCCCCTCCCCATCCTCCCCTCCCCACCCAGCCCCTCCCCACCCTCCCCTCTCCACCCAGCCCCACCCCTCCCATTTTTGGATGCACGACGGACGGACACAATAATCCCCTGTGGGCTGGTGTAACCAGGAGGTTCCTACCGGTATAAACGAAGGGACAATTTTGTGGGAAAGTCCAAAGCGTTTCTTACAACACCTTTGGAAACCCTGGTCTGCCGTACACGTGTAGATGGGTGGAAATGTGTTTTTATCACTTGAGACTCTCCCCTGGGTTCAGTAGAGACACTCTTAGGGTGTTTCATGGCTGCTAACCATTATGATCCTACTGCCTTATAAATAACGCGATCTAACCCAACAACGTTTATTATGAGCATGATCATTGATTTAAAAAAACCCCCACACCTTCACCCTTCTTTCCACTCTCACGAATCCCACAGTGCGAGATGGAGAGTCAACCCACGATGGAGCTGCAACAGCAGGAGGACTTCCCGGCGTGGCTTGAGGCGCAGGGCGTGAACGAGGAGGTGGCCCGGGCCATGGACTCGGAGCTGGGCATCCGGGACTACGGGGTCTTGCGCGCCTGCGTCGGGGACGCGTGCCTCCGTGCCGAGCTCCTGTCCACGGCGCGCGACCGCCTGCCCTTCGGCTTCTACGCCGTGCTGCGGCAGGTGGTGAAGGCCCTGCAGGGCGCCGAGCCCCACGACGGCGCCGGGACAGCCGCTGTCCGGCGCGCTTCGCGACGTGACGCTGGCGGGGCTCGTGGAGGTGCTGCTTGCGCTGCTCACGGGCCTGAGCCGCGAGCTGGCGCTCTCCGTGCAGAAGCTGGAGGCGGTGAGCGGCGGCGGCGCCTTTGTCGGAAGGTTCCTCGCGAAGGACGAGGACTACCAGACGGAGAGGGACGATGACGATTCGCACCACGGTGAGGTTCGAGCGGCGCGTGAGGGAATCAACGGTGGCCCGTCGGATCTTCATCGGAAATATTTGCTTATGCTGAAGGAATCCGATGAGCGAAAAAGTAAATTTTTTTTTTTTTTACAGATGTCCAGTAGGGGCACGGGGGTTCAGAACAGTTTGTTTGTATCTTTGAAAGTTAGTAAGTCGAATGTTCGTACGTTGAGTAGTCTTTATCATTTCTAGATTGAAGCTTTCGTGACTGCAAGGATTCATACTCTTACGTGACTTTACCGAAAAAACCTAATAGTCTTTATCACTCGCCGCTGATGCTAGCCGTGACCGAGCATCGGACCACTCGCACATATCCACAATCAAGTTCAAACTGCACACGGCGCGCGATTATCACGGTTTTGTGTTTCTCATGTCCCCGTGTTTAATACGAATGGTAATGTAGGACGTTTGCCGCTCACGCCATTCCAGTGGTGCGATATCATCACGAAGGAAGGGTGCCGTGTTTCACAGACGGTTATAGTCTGATTCTAGATTTGAAGCTTTCGTGACTGCAAGGATTCATATTCTTAGGTTTTTTCGGTAAAGTCACGTAGGTAAAACATTAAAATTAATAAAAGTAAAATAAAATATAAAAAAAAATCACGACGTTTCGGAGGCAACACAAGCTTCCGTCTTCAGGTGGAACCGTCACAGCCACGACAGCTGTATCAAGTAAATGAGAGATTGCAGGAGCTACCACTCCGTTTAAATAATGGTTGGAGAGGGGGGAAGGGCCAAGTACAGCACACTTTTTATTCATATGGTAAGGTGAGGCTTAAGAGGGTGATCCTTTGTTATGGAGAGGTACGGTTTGTGACTCAACCTGTGACAAGGAGAAAACAACTGAACATGGTAAACCTGTAATAGTTGTCTGTCAAATAAGATTGGCCAAATAAGTGTAGTTAAATGTTTTTTGCATGGTTAATCACATCTTTCCAATGATTACTCAGTTTGTAACCATCATCACGGTTGAAATTATGTCTGTGTTTGTATATTTGTATGGCTTCGTGTACAAACCTTTGATGGTAGCCAGTCTGCCCCGTAGCGGGGCGATGCTCAATCCCTCCCTCGCTTCTCATCGTCCAGGCAACGCCGGCGACTTCTCCAACGACGACGCCGAGAGTCCAGTCCCCGAGGAGGAGGAGGAGTGCGAGTGGCGGCAGCACAGCGACAGCAGCCCAGGTGAGAGCCCAGCCCAGGTGAGAGCCCAGCCCAGGTGAGAGCCCAGCCTAGGTGAGAGGCCAGGTGAGAGGCCAGGTGAGAGGCCAGGTGAGAGGCCAGGTGAGAGGCCAGGTGAGAGCCCAGCCTAGGTGAGATCGCAGGTGAGAACTCAGTCCAGGTGCTAGCCTAGGTGAGAACCCAGCCCAGGTGAGAGCCCAGGTGAGAGCCCACCTCAGGTGCTAGGCTAGGTGAGAGCCCAGCTCAGGTAAGAGCCTAGGTGAGAACCCAGCCCAGGTGAGAGCCCAAGTGAGAGCCCACCTCAGGTGAGAGCCCAGCCCAGGTGAGAGCCCTGCTCAGGTGAGATCGCAGGTGAGAGCCCAGCCCAGGTGAGATCCCAGGTGAGAACTCGGTCCTGGTGATAACCTCTGATTAACAGAGTTGGCTACGTATGGTGTGAAAAAGGTTTAACATACATACTGAACCCAACGCCGATGAGAGCCCAGCCCAGATGAGAGCCCAGCCTCGTTGAAAAACCTGCCCAGGTGAAAACACAGCCCAGGTAAGAGCCCAGCCCAAGTCAGAGCCCAGCCCAGGTGAGAACCCAGCCCAGGTGAGAGCCCAGCCCAGGTCAGAGCCCAGCCCAGGTGAGAACCCAGCCCAGGTGAGAGCCCAGCCCAGGTGAGAGCCTAGCCCAGGTGAAAACCCAGCCCAGGTCAAAGCCCAGCCCAGGTGAAAACCCAGCCCAAGTGGGAACCTAACCCAGGTAAGAGCTCAGGTGAGAACCCAGGCTGGGTGACAGCCCAGCCTGGGTGAGAGCCCATTCTAGCTGAGAAACCCACCCTGGTGAACACCCAGCCCAGGTAAATTGTGTATCACGGAGCGAGCAGAACTGAGCACAAACAAGACAAAGAGCTGCACAAACCAGACATGAACAAAGCAAAATGATCGTCTAAAATTAAATCGCGACCATCGAATCATGGAGAGGTGAATCGTTACACACGGTGACCTCTAACCCGAGGTGACCTCCGCCCCCCTCCGCTCCTCCTCGCTGACCAGGGAAGAGCCTGGAGACCCTGTCTGGCTTCGTGCTCCCGGACGGCAGTACCCTGGAGTGCGCGCGGCAGTACTACGCCGCCTCCTCCGCCGCCGCCGCCGCCGCCAAGGAGCGCAGCGCCGCCTACGGGGCCGCCCTGCAGCTGCAGCAGCTGCAGCAGCTGCAGCAGCAGCAGCTGCAACCGCATCAACAGCCGCAGCAGAGTCAGCAGCAGCAGCACAGCGTGGACGAGATGATCGCGGCCGCAGTTGCCGCCACCGCTGCCGCCGATCCCCACCACCTCCAACACCACCAACAGCAGCAGCAGCAGCAGCAGGTGGAGGAGGCGGCCGCCGCCGCCGCCGTGGCGTCGATCAGCAGCAAAGGGCGGCCGCGCACCAACCGCCCCGACGCGCTGGCGCCGAGGCGGCAGCAGTACGAGTGCCGGCAGTGCGGGCGCGAGTTTGTGCGCTCGGACGCGCTCAAAGCGCACATGCGCATCCACACGGGCGAGAAGCCGTACCGCTGCGGAGCCTGCGGCCGCGCCTTCTCGCAGAGCTCCGGGCTCAAGACGCACCAGCGGGTGCACACGGGAGAGAAGCCGTACCGCTGCGGCGTGTGCGGGCGCGTGTTCGCGCAGTGCTCGGGCCTTCAAGTACCACATGCGCACGCACACGGGGGAGAAGCCCTACGTGTGCCAGGGCTGCGGCAAGAGCTTCGGCATATCGAGCCACTGCAACAGGCACCGCAAGATGTGCCTGCTCGCCAACGCGAGGCCGGTTCACGACGAGCGGTGACGGGTCCGTCTCCCGATGGGTCTCTTTACGCGCGGTGATCATTGGGAGTCGCTCCTGAATTAGTCGGGTTTGCCGGCAGTGCAGCGTGACGCTGAGACTAATTCCCTCCCCTCACCCCCTCCCTCCGCCGCCCCCTTTTTCCACTGACACATCTGAGCCGAGCCAGCGCCGGGTGACTGGCAACACGGGGTGGTTTTCCCAACTGCGAGCTGGAACCAAACCGTGCTACGTTGGCCTCGCAAGAAGTCTGTATCTTGCTCGAGGGCCAAGCTCCGTGCCCGGGCGGAAGTAAGAACACGTTCGCAAATTGAATGTGATTCATACAAAAATCGCTATGGACTTTGTTCCATTCGCGAGTGTTGCAGTCCCACGAGCCGGTGCTCGTTTTACTGACCCCCGAAGGGACGATCACGGTGATGACGACGAAGATGATGACGACGTTGGTGACGACGATGAGGGTGAGCCGACCCTTGCCGCAGGATCTCAACTCGCAACCTTGAGGTCTTGAGACTGCTGCTCCGTACAAATGGAACCGTGTCGATGTATGCATCCTGTACGTGTGCGTGCTAAACGAAACTATTTTGTATCTTATCAGTTAAGGCCCACTGAGCTATTTTTCAGAATCGACTTGGCCACAAATGATAGCTCAACGAACTCGTGACCTATTTGCCAGGCGAGGCAGATAGCATTTCTCCACCGGCACATACAGTCAGTCATGCATTGATGTAGCTATGGGTATGACTGGAGTTCCCGTGATGGTTTATGCTCCGTTGACGAGATCGGCAAGGCAGTTTACCATCTCGCAAAGCGATCTGATCGGAGGCGAGTGTGAACGTGGGTCATTTTCTACTCTTCCCAGAGGTGGTGTATTTATTTAACTGAGTGGGGGGGTGGGGGGAGACCTTAGGTCCCTGTTGGGAGTCAGGATGTGAAGACTACTATTTTTAAAGCATCCCGCGTAATCGGTCGCAATTTTAAGCCGATTGCTCAACGGAATCGTTGAATCGTCTCGGTTGTACATTGTGTTTTTTGCTGAGCGGTTACAAGGTGGGTAGTCTAGGCCATGGACAGGTGGCCGCTAATTTATAACAAGCATAAATGGGTCAGCATTTACGCTATTGGAACCTCATTTGCCAGTAAAAAATATGATAATTGTTTTTTTACCCTTTTATCTGCCAACGAAACTGACACCTTTTTTACAAGGAGTCGTGTTTGCACCTTTTGGCGTCATCTGGTCCAACACCATGTGAGGCTAGGCTCTGAGGAAAGCTGTCTCGGGTGTGGACCAATAAACTTCAAGGACAGTACATACATTATCGGAGTTATGTTTTTTGTTTGCATTATGACTGCAGGTATTGTGGTCTAAGCAAACATGACTCCTTGTAAAAAAAGGTGTCAGTTTTGTTGCCAGATAGAATGGTAAAAAAACAATTATCATAAATGGGTTCATCGTTGATTATAGCATGAAGGTACCCAGTGGTATTAGTTTATGAAGGCAATGCTTGCTTATGAGTGTCACTGAAATTGAACAGATTCAAGGGCATCTGTGATAGTGCAGTCAGTGGCATTCGTTTGAGTTCAAACCTTGCTGATGGACTCTGTTATGGTAACATAACGAATCACGTGTTTGGCAGTTGCTGCGTTTTATGTGTGCAACAACAACAAAAACATCATACCGATGTATTCGTAACTAAAATCGGGGAAAATTGCCAAGGCCATTTCGTTCAAGATATGAATCTGGCTCTTTAACAGCTCGCATCCTCGTATTTTTTTAAAATGTAAATGTTGGAAGTAAAACTTTCTAAACGAGAAGCGTTTGTTTTCAGAAGAATGGTCGGGCTACGTGGCTATGTCGTCGGTATGGTTAAACATTCTGCTTAGCCTCCAGTGTTTTTAAGTTACGTGTCTTTTTTGCAAAATAACACATTGCTGCGGAGGGAGCTGGTAGGAACGTTGGGTTGCTCGGTCAATGGCCAGGGTCAACGGCGGCGTGGTGTATTCCGCAAATATGGCCGACTGTGAGGGCGGGCACAAGCCGGCGTGAGTAGGTTAAACGTTTAAGGGCACCACGGGGTGACCAGCCCCTCCCCACCCAGCCCCACCCCTCCCACCCCCCACCCAGCCCCACCCTCCCCTCCCCACCCAGCCCCTCCCTACCCAGCCCCTCCCCACCCTCCCCTCTCCACCCAGCCCGACCCCTCCCATTTTTGGATGCACGACGGACGGACGGACACAATAATCCCCTGTGGGCTGGTGTAACCAGGAGGTTCCTACCAGTAAAAATTGTTTACTATTGCTTGTACAACACGAAGTGAATTACATGGGTGCAACTCATGAACGACCGATGTCGACTCAACTTGATCTTCATTTTGATTTAAAGCTTTCGTGACTGCAGGGATTCACATTATTGGTAACAATAAAATAAAAATATAAAACAAGAAAAATGTTCACGACGTTTCGTTTGCAACACAAGCAATCATCAGGTGTGAAACCCACAGCAAGAAAATTTGAAAAAAAAGTGCCGGTTTTTTGTTAGTTTAATTTTTAAAACACCACTTTTTTTTACACAAGCAATCATCATCAGGTGTGAAAACCACGGAAAAAAGTGGCGTTTTTTTTCTTAAACTAAACTAAGAAAAAACGCCGCTTTTTTTTCTTCAAATGTTCTTGCCGTGGTTTTCACACCTGGTGATGATTGCTTGTGTTGCAATCGAAACGTCGTGAAAATTTGTATTGTTTTATATTTTTATTATTTTATTGTTTCCCTTCTACGTGACTTTACCGAAAGAAATCGTAAAAATAGCAATGGTTTTGCTTCTTTTGTTAGAAGGTCGACTTGTGTTTTGTTTTGGTTCGACTTCAGACTGACAGCTGTATTGATGGATTGCATGCTGTTACCCAGCGATGTGCATATATGTGTGTGTGTGTGGTCACCCATTCACCTGCATTGTGAAGTCTCCTGTTCAGATGTAAATGGCAATACTAAATAAACATGACGACGGCGGTGGTGGTGGTGGTGATGATGTTGGTTGTGTTGGCGAAAATATTGAAGAGCCATACATTATACCGAGAAAAAATATTTCTTAAAATCCACGCTTCAAAGTCGCGTCACCAACTCTGGGGCCGTCCATAAATGACGTCACGCACCTAGGGGGGGGGGGGTTTGAGAAATGTGACGTCACATCAAAATGCGCAACTTTAAATAAATATAGACAACACGTTCTACTTAATTAAATAGACTTCTTAATAAATGTTTTCTCCTACAACATCAGAGTACAGCGCCACATTAAATACGCACTACAATGACAATAGTTTAAAGCGATTTGAAGCATATTCTTGATTCTTTCGGTAAAGTCACGTAGAAGGGAAATAATAAAAAAATAAAACAATTAAATTCTCACGACAGCTGTGGTTTCCACACCTGATGATGATTGCTTGTGTTGCAATCGAAACGTCGTGAGAATTTTATAGATTTATTTGTATTATTTAATTATTTCCCTTCTACGTGACTTAACCGAAAGAACCAAGAATATGAATCCCTGCAGTCACGAAAGCTTTAAATCGATTTGAAGCATGTTTTTTTTGGGGGGGGGGGAGCTTTGTGACATCAAATTTTAGGGGGGGGTCTGACTTTTTGTGACGCCGTGTGACGAAGGGGTGGGGGGCGGTCAAAAAAATTGTCCAAAATCGCGTGACGTCATTTATGGACGGACCCCTAAGTTTCAAGTTCCATTTGGTTAACACCATTCGAGAAGTCAAGAGGCCAGGATAGGAGATGACGCCATCTGGTCGAACACTGCATGAGACTAGGCTCTAAGGAAAGCTGTCTCTGGTGTGGACCAATCAGTTTCAAGGACAATGCATACATTATCAGATTGATGTTTTTTTGCATTCTGTATTATGGAGATGGCAGAGCAACCACGACAATTTCACATTCTGGTGGTCAGACCAGGCAACCGCGTTCGGAGCAGCAGCAGCAGCAGTTGACTCCTTCGTATCGGTGTGGATCGGAGCATCGGCGGTCCCGTTACACGTGGTACGATCTGTTCTGGATGACCACATTGGGACGCTGCTGGAGAGGTTTGTTTTACTGGTAGGAACCTCTGGTGACACCAGCCCACAGGGGATTATTCTGTCCGTCCGTCCGTCTTGCAGGGAGGGGCTGGGTGGGGAGGGGCTGGGTGGGGAGGGTGGGGCTGGGTGGGGGGTGGGGGTTGGGAGGGGCTGTGTGGGAGGGGCTGGATGGGGGGTGGGAGGGGTTGGGTGGGGCTGGTGGGGAGGGGCTGGGAGGGTAGGGTGGGGAGGGGCTGGGAGGGGAGGGTGGGGAGGGGCTGGGTGGGGAGGGGCTGGGTCGAGGGTGGGAGGGTTGGGGCTGGGTGGGGAGGGGCTGAGTGGGGAGGGGCTGGTCACCCCGTGGTGCCCTGATAAAACTCAACGTTTAACCTACTCACGCCGGCTTGTGCCCGCCCTCACAGTCGGGCATATTTGCGGAATACACCACGCCGCCGTTGACCCTGCAGGCCATTGACCGAGCAACCCAACGTTCCTACCAGCTCCCTCCGCAGGAAAGTGTTAATATTTGTAATTTTCCACTGACCCAGCGTGGTGAAGTATGGTCATTTAACCCACCGTTGTCAATCCAGCAGTGGGTTTTCGAAGGATCGTGGAATTATTACGGTGCGGTCGCTCGAATCTGTTTCAACTGCCCCCATGATTACATTATGACCCCTTTCTCCGATTCGAGATCTGACATTGATGACACACACACCCCCCCCCCCCCCTTGCTGTCTCTGCGTTACATTTCAAATCACGAACGGAGATCATCATCATGACCCCCAAAGAGGAATTTCCGTCTCTCCGATAATCGCAAAGGGGCCGTCCATAAATGACGTCACGCGATTTTGGGCGATTTTTTACATCCCCCCCCCCCCCCCCCCCATCGTCACACGGCGTCACAAAAAGTCAGACCCCACTAGATTTGAAGCTTTCGTGACTGCAAGGATTCATATTCTTAGGTGTTTTCGGTAAGAATATCAGACCCCCCTCTCAAATATGACGTCACAAAGCTCTGCCCCCCCCCCCATAAAAGAATAAGGGGCCGTCCATAAATGACGTCACGCGATTTTGGACGATTTTTGACCCCACCCCCCCAGCGTAATTAAAAGTCAGACCCCCCCCCCTGAAATATGACGTCACAAAGCTCTGCCCCCCCCCCCCCAAAAATATAAAACATGCTTCAAATCGCTTTCAACTATTGTCATTGTAGTGCGTATTTAGCGTGGCGCTGCACTCTGATGTTGTAGGGGAAAACATTTATCAAAAAGTCTATTTAATTAAGTAGAACGTGTTGTCTGTATTTATTTAAAGTTACGCATTTTGATGTGACGTCACATTTCCCAAACACCCCCCCCCCCTCCCCCATCGTCACACATCGTCACAAATGTCTGCCCCCCCCCCCCCCTAGGTGCGTGACGTCATTTATGGACGTGCTCCCCCCTCCCCCCCAAGTGCAACAACACGGGGGGCTGACGGCGCAAATCGCCGCGGTCCCCCAGCCTCGCGCACGGCGGAATCGGCGGCCGGGGAAACGCGAAGCTGCGTCCGCGACGCGTGGAGATCAACACGCGGACGACGACGAGTTGACGAGGAGTTGACGAGGTTAATGAGGTTCATGGGGAGTTCATGGGGAGTTGAGGAGGTTAATAAGGTTCATGGGGAGTTGATTAGGTTCATGGGGAGTTGAGGTTCATGGGGAGTTGACGAGGTTAATGGGGAGTTGATGAGGTTCATGGGGAGTTCATGGGGAGTTGATGAGGTTCATGGGGAGTTCATGGGGAGTTGAGGTTCATGGGGAGTTGACGAGGTTAATGGGGAGTTGATGAGGTTCATGGGGAGTTCATGGGGAGTTGATGAGGTTCATGGGGAGTTGATGAGGTTCATGGAGTTAACGTGGAGTTGACGAGGTTAACGAGGTTTATGGGGAGTTGATGAGGTTAATGGGGAGTTGAGGTTAATGAGGTTCATGGGGAGTTGACGAGGTTAATGGGGTTAACGTGGAGTTGACGAGGTTAATGAGGTTCATGGAGAATTGATGAGGTTAACGGGGAGTTGACGAGGTTAATGAGGTTAACGGGGAGTTGACGAGGTTAATAAGGTTCATGGGGAGTTGACGAGGTTAATGGGGTTAACGGGGAGTTGACGAGGTTAATGAGGTTCATGGAGAGTTGATGAGGTTAACGGGGAGTTGACGAGGTTAATGAGGTTAACGGGGAGTTGACGAGGTTAATGAGGTTAACGGGGAGTTGACGAGGTTAACGAGGTTAACGGGGAGTTGACGAGGTTAATGAGGTTCATGGGGAGTTGACGAGGCTCAAAAACATCATTCCGCTTTGTAAATCTGGCGCACTACTCACGCGAATTAGGTGGAATTGCTTTCGCCGCATATCTGCCCGGAGTTCTACAACAAGTGCTGATGTGACCTCTTCCAGGAATTTGGGTTCTAGATGTTGTTCTACGCTGCAGTGCGGTGGCCACATTGTCTCACCGTGAATTTAAAGCCTCTTTTTAAAATCCTTTATATTAAGTTCGCTTACGTGCTTGCTTGCTTGCTTACGACCGTGCAAATCTTTCGGTCGTTTTTTAACCCACTTCCCGTGATCCAATCGAGCTAACATTTTGCACACAGACTCGTTGTGCGAGACAATTAATGTTCGTGAAAATTGTTTCCCCAAAATTTTACACTGTTTAGGGAAAATAAATTAAATATTTAATTACCAATTGCTTAATACTGGCAGACAATCATCTGACCCATAGGTGGCAGCCATCTCAAGCCAGAGGACGGGAGGACTCTAGCCGCCACGCATATAAAGGATTTATAGTGAAAAACTTTGTTTTTACGGGTTATACTTATTTTTCTTTCCTCTTCTCATTGACGAAGCTTCAAATTCACGTCGAGGCAACCATCCCAAGATATTTTATCTACCGACAGAGGTGGTTGCTGGCGAAAGTTGTCGAGACATTTTTTTAACTCTCATTGCCCTGATGCCTATAGCAAAAAATAGAACACACAGCAACTGGTTAAGTAAAAAAAAGGCTAATTGCAAAACAAATAACTTAAAAATGAAAAAAATGAACGGCTGTTCGTTTTTGCGGTTGAATCTTTGAGTTGTGTCCACCAGCTGTGTAGTGTAAGCAAGCAATTGTAGCGCTTGCAGTTTACCTTAACTTGAACTTCTGTCGCACCGCATGTATCCAATTGTGCTAATCAGAGGTGCGGGAGGACAAACTGAACACAAAGCGCAGCTCACCTTGAAGTGAAATAACCCTGAGAAGCCTGAAATTAAGCAATTCAATCTCCCGTGTTCCCGTCATCCAGTCGACAACGATGGCGTGTGCGGTGTCCGCTGTCCCTCCTGCCACCACTCACCCTGCCCTGGAGCCGAGCGGAGACTTCCCGGCGTGGCTGGAGGCGCAGGGTGTGAACGCGGAGGTGGCCCGGGCCATGGACTCGGAGCTGGGCATCCGGGACTACGGGGTCCTGCGCGCCTGTGTCGGGGACGGCCTCGTGCGGGCCGAGCTGCTTACCGCGGCGCGCGACCGCCTGCCCTTCGGTTTCTACGCCGTGCTGCGGCAGGTGGTGAAGGCCCTGCGGGGCGCCGAGCCCCACGACGGCGCTGGGACGCCGCGCTGGGACGACGCCGCCGCCGCCGCCAGCAACGCCTCCTCCTCTCCTGGAGACGTGACGCGGGGAGGCCTGGTGGACATGCTGCTCGCGCTGTTGAGTGGCTTGAGCCGGGAGCTGCTGCTGTTCGTGCGGAGGTTGGGAACTGTGGAAGGAGTGGGATACGTGGAGGATTTTGTGACGGATGATGGGGGTCACCATCCGGCCGAAGAGGATCAGCACAACAGCCACTGTGAGTTTGTTTTTTTTTATTTTAGAGGGGAGGAGGTGTGACCGGGTTAGCTCAAAGATGGGAGCGCTGAGACACTGCTGAGA